AACCAATAATCATAACCAAATAATGGTTACAAGGCCATGCCCTCAGTATATCGCTAAATAGCGATATCCGGACACATAATGGCTAGTCACTGGAAAACAGCGACTGAGTTACTATTACTACAAAAGTATGTGAAAGCTATATTTAACCCTACCAATACCTATGTTATGTTCTAGCTTATCCACATATAATAATTATCCTGCTCTATATAATATACTAATCAATTTAAATATAAATATTAGAGAAATTGTAAAAAAAATAGAAATTATTATGCGAATAGTTTTGTGTTTACTTGGCCATGAGAATAACCAATTCGAAATTTCAGAAATTGAATTCGAAATTGAATTGAATTCGAAAAGTAAGTCGCATGCCAATGAAAGTTAATAATAATAATAATAAAAGCTAATAATCATAAAAAACCATATCAATGAAAGGTAATAATAAAAAGGACGTAAAAGCTTTCACTTACCTGTCGATGGTGTCGATCACATTGAAGCCACATATGTATACTATTATACTTTGCCGTTGCCAATGGCCTACTATATTTATAATGAAAACTATCCAGGCACAAACATACATGACACACTAGGGTGGCTCAGAAAAACCAAAATGCGATTTTAAATAAGCCCCCTTTGGAATATGCCATTGACCAAAAAAATGATATCCTCCAAAGTTTTGGAGCAATAGGATTAAAAATGACGTTGCACCATTTGAGCAAAGTTGGGTTTTCAGTACAAAAAACAGAAATTTTTCAATTTAAGGTCATTTCTTATATTTGTTACTTATTTCAACAAGTACCTTCTGCTCAAAAAGTATCCGGATTTGTTAACTACTCTTTAAGTAATAGACATTTTTCAAAAATTGTTTTTTGTTATGTGGGTACACCCTTTCTTGACATATGGTACAAATCTGTCATCTGTCATCAAATCGCCATCTGTCAATTAGTTTGTTTACAGCAGCTGTTAATGTAAGATTACCTCAAGAGCTTTTAGCGATTTTAACTATGGAAAATTCTTGTTGTACGCGATTTTTTGACCAAACACGGCACCACTGTCATCGCTCAGGCACCATATTCGCCAGATCTGGATCCGTGCGACTTTTTCCTGTTCCCGAAACTTAAATTGCCCCTTCGTGGTAAGCGTTTTGAGTCGATTGAATCGGTAAAAGAGAATTCGCTAAAGGAACTAAAAGCCATAAGATTAGGTTAAGCGTTGGCATTTCGGTTGTGCATGCCGTAATACATCGTTATCACCAGAGTTTGCAGCAGGCGATAACAAGTCGTTTAACTTCATAAGCGAAAACCAAATTCCAGCATTCCATTTGTTTTCACAGTACAAAACACAAATGTAATTCCAAAAGACATCAAACTTTATGAAGTCAATAATACAGCTATAAACACTTATGGCATTCGAAGATTTAGGACTTCATCGTAACTTCAGCTGGAACTTCGTAATAGCTAATATAAAGTTACTAATCATAGGCGCAAAGTTTTTGGCAAATTTCGGTTTAGTGCCAGACATAAAAAACAAACGACTGATTGATCCTCTAACATCTTCATCTGTCTCAGGCTCCGGAAAGAACGTCGATATCCATGATATCCTTTTTCAAGTTGTTCAACATAGTTCGCAAGTATATAACCTATCCACTCCTAACAACTACAAACTGCCAAAAACTGTCACAAGTAAGCCATCAGATTGAAACAGAGTAACGACCGTTTGTAGAAAAGCTAAAAAGATACTCTAGATGATGGGCATGTGGTGATTACCGTAAATTGAAAAGCAGCACGAAACCCGACCGTTATCCAATACCGTACATTGATCAAGTGTCAGAACGACTTAATGGAAGTACAGTATTCTTTAAGATTGACATTAATCGAACACATTATAACATTTCAATGAACCTGGAACATATTGGCAAAACTGCAGTCAGCACTCCAGTGTGAATGTTTGAATTTGTCGTAATGCCTTTTGGGCTAAAAAATGGAACTCGAACATTTCAACACCACATGGACTCAATCTTTCGACCCACACCATTCGGTTTTTATCATTTAGACGATATTTTGTTTTTTTCAGATAGGATTAAAATACTGCACTCATATCTTCTTACGTGCTGATCATATAAGAGAACCACTTTAGCCGCCATATACAGGTCCGCATAAAGTTATCAAAAAGATAAGTAAACGGATCTTCAAAATTCAAGTGGGCACCAACCAACTAAACGTCTCGATAGAACGGCTGAAGCCAGCGGTCCTCGCAGTAAAACATAAGCAGGTAACAGAACCACCATTCTTAGAGGTTTTAATCAACCCGACTCAACCCAAGCGCAACGATGGCACCAGCAATAAGGTACGCAAAGTAACTTTTGCCGACGAAGACCTGAAAAACTGATGTTTTTTAACTGTCTCTTCAAGTTTTTAAAAATATAAAAGTCATTAACTCATCCTGCACTCCGATTATACTAATAGCTTTCGCTAAAACTCCAATCTATTCGCTAAAATTCTTAAACATGCGATCCGTTTATTTTACGAGAATTACTAAGTATGCGATTCTGCTAACATAACCTCTTCCGGCGATGTGGATAATGCCGAAAAGCATTAAAATGTCAAAGTAACAAAAACAAAAATTTTCTGCTATTAGTGTTTAATTGATGAAATAATGGATTATTTAATAAGCTTTTTTTCATCTTTCGAAATATTTATGTAATCTTTTAACATGGGAAATTATTGTGCACATGGTACCGAGAAGTTGATCAGATGGAATTTCGAAGTGTGGGACAAAGTTTTTTATTGAATCTTTCTCAGACTATTGCAAGTAGACGCATTAGAACGATTGCCAATAGAATGAACCGTCAATAAAATATGTGAAACTGTTTGTTTATTTATTTTGTTCAGTCGACTGTTGTCATTACAGTATA